TGACAAATTCTTTCTTCTTTAATTTCAAGAATTTCTTGTCTTCCATGGATTTTCCAGGTCAGTTATCCATTTTGGTTCTGGGATATCTTGTCATTTTCTTTCCAAGGGATAAAACTGTTGTGACATTGTGAGTTGTCTTGTACACATATGCAACTTGGACAAGACTGATTCCAAGACTGATGGACAACATTCCTAGCTGTATGATGCTTCCCTAGACAGATTTATAAATTTATAAACACCCAGCCTAATGTCATCTAGGCAAAAGGTGCACCTCTAGGACCAGTTACTTGATCCAGTTTATGGTGGACTTCAGGAAGACCTATGCCAGTCAATAACTGAAAATGAGATTGATCATCAAGGGGTAGAATTTCTAGAGTTCTGTGTTTGAGGTGCAGATTAGGTTGATATATGTTTAAAGTGAGAATCTCATTATTCATATTGTTAAGTTCACACATTATTGTTAAGTTCATCACATCTGTAGACAACCATTCACAGGATGTGTGCATAGTGCACCAATTTTCCCCCCTGACATAACTGAGCAGCCAGAGCAGCCAGCAAAATGTAAAAGAAAATGTAGAAGGTTTCCTTTTGCCAAAGTTTTGTCACTGATCATTTAAATAACATGACTTCATATACCTCCTAGAAGACATAATCTAGTAAAACCTAGGCACATGACTCCATGAAATTACTCACATACTCCAGTCCTTTTGTCAGTGACACATAAAGCTGCTCACCTGCTGACTCAGTGACAGATTTTTCTAGTTTAGGCTTCTCTCTTCCATAAACATTTCTACTTTTTTTCAGGAAAAATACTTTGATTTTTTTAAATGCAGAACATTGTAAAGATTTTTTTTTTCCACAAACCTTAGAAGTTATGTCTTTTGGAGAATCATGACTTACAGGATTCTTTAAGGCACTTGAAACATACTTTGTTTTCTTTTAGAAGGAATAAAATATAACATTTTTGTATTCATGAAGAAAATAGTTTGAACCATGTGATGTACATTTCAGGTACCATAGTCACCTTAAATCTATCATTTTGTGTGTGTGAGACTCAATTACAGTTTCAAAATTGAATCCTGGATCATTTGGTAATTGGGAATGGTTAGAGAGAAAGTCCACAAAATCAGTTGTTGTAACAGCACACCTTGTGCCTTAACCCAATGGCGCCGGGTGTACAAAACAAAAAAAAAACTCTACGCTTAAACAAACAAAGGTGGCGCGCCGACTTTGAGCGCGTGAGTAGGGGACATCAGCCCGAATCACTGGCTTGGCAAAATAATTTTTCATAAAATTAACTTTCTTTATGTGACTGTACTTTGCCGAGATTTTGCAGATTAGTTTCTTATAATCTTTTAACATAACTTCAGGGAACTTTCCCAGTTCTTCATACTTGGTACTACAGCTGTCTCATCCATATCAACTTATTGCACTTGATTCAGGTGCGATCCACAGGAGAAACAGATCCACTTCTTTTAAGTACTGAATGTTGAGATTTTTAACTGTCTGCTGCAAATTAGTTTATGAAGGCATTCGAGACTTAGGACAAATATCAAAGGGGCTGGAATGTGCAAAGCAAAATTCCTTTTTCTAAAGACAACCTGACAACCCACAACTGTTACTTATTGGATTAACTTAGGCATGACTGGGTTTACTATGAAGAGATTGACTGACTGGTTTAGCTTGTCTTAAAGAAAGGTCTAGATCAATTTCTGTTCAACTGTTTTGGTCTTCCACATACTGCTGCTTTCTTCACACACTACTCTATATTCAGCTTCAGCTAACAGAGCATTCTAATGCCTCCTTGTACTGTAACTTACTTTGATTGCACTTTGAAGCTGTACGTTTGTGGTTTCAGCTTTCATTCTTATCTAGCATCATTGCTGAAACACTTTCTGAAACTGATCTTACACTTAATTTCTCTGAACATTCAGATGTAAGTTTAACAGTGTATCAGTTGTTAAGATCTCTTGCTCTGTTTCATGTATGAACATATCAGGTTTGGTTTTGTACTCGACATGCATGTGGCCCAAAATCTGGGTATAAGGTTTACTGAAGTACCAACTCTCCCAGGTGTGGCTTGTAGGCCTGGCTCACATGAACACTTGTGAACATCAGATGATGATAACAGTCGGGGAAGAGCCATGTAGTAAAAGGGGTGAAAGAATAGGAAATATCTTTATTTGTTAGACCTTACAAGCATGAGATTCTTACTGGTTCACTTGTGAAGCCAGACCCCTGCTCACTATTTATGGCTGATTGTCGATACAGTAAAGGTGCAGCAAAGAAAACAATCCAGTCAGCCAGATGTCATCTGATAGCTTACAGAATGAAGTCAGTATATATGCTAGCTTGTGTACATGTATTAACCCAATGGTGCTTGCTACATATAAAGCTCAGTAAACTAATATTTTGCTAAATGTATTTATATAAAGATGGCTCCACAACGGAAAAAAATACCAAGGAGTCAATTCTCGTTTCTTTGAGATTTTGGGATTTTTTCTGGCGCTATTGATATTGATGTTATTACTGTTATTAACATTATAATAAAAACAGTGGGATAAATAATACTGATAGCAATGTTCTTTATAAGGAACCCTAATGCCCACACCATATGCCTGGGGCATTGCCTTAGGGAGAATGGAACATTTAATGCTATGATTAGCTATTGTTTTTGCACATAGATCATGCACTTACTATACGTGGAAGATGCCATGCATCAAAACATGATACTTTCTTTTCTGTTGATGTGACGCTGCAAGTAACCTTCACTCCTGTCAACTATTCACATTGTCTTTTGGTGCTCTGCCAGTGTGGTTGTCTTGAAGTATGACACAAATAAGGGAAGTACTGAAGCTATGGGAGCAGTACCCTAGTATATCACTGAACACAATCTCATATTTCATAAAAATAAGATGGCATGGTATGTACTTGCATGCCATCCCCAGAGGCATTGGGTTAATCTAATCTCCCTTTATCTGTATATTTTTGTGTTATGTAAAGAAAGTATGTTTAACCAAAATTATTCAGAGGAAAGCTCATTTGTCAATAAAAATCTTGATAGTAATTTGTCAAAAAAAAAATATATATATATATGTATATATATATATATATATTGATATAAATATATGTATATATACTATATATATACATATATATATATATATATATATATATATATATATATATATATATATATATATATATCAGACCTGGCTGTTTGAGGCGGGCGATCGCCCGCGCGCGCCTCCACGCTCGCCTCGGGTTAGCGAGGCGAGCTATTCATCGCTCGCCTCAATGTCAGTTCGCACATTAACCGCCCGCCTTGGTTTTCCTTTCATTTCTCGACACCTCTTGAATTAAAACTAAAATATTGACAGGAACTTAATCCCTTATGTTTTGACTTCAAAATAACATTAATCACCTTGAACTTGAACTTGAACATCAAAATGCCAGTTTTCGAATGACTTTTTGTTTGTACTAATGTTATAAAATTACGCTATTTGATTTAAGTTTGGTTCTGTTCAAACCTTGTTTGTGAGAATGTGGTTGATTTGCGACTATATGAAACTATCGTTTTATTTCTGTTGGAGAATTGTCATCTTGTTTTGTAAACTTAGCTGTTTAAATACCAATGTTGCATTTGTTGTTTATTCGTACACTTTTATGGACGATTTTCAATGGATTGAAAATCGCCCGCCTGACTTTAACGAGGAGAGCGATGCACCGCTCGCCTGCTAAAATGCTCACGGCCAGGCCTGATATATATATATATATATATATATATATATATATATATATATATATATATATATATATATATATTTATACACTGTATATATGAATATATATTTATACACTGTATATATGAATATATATTTATACACTGTATATATGAATATATATATACACAGTATATATGAATATATATATATATACACAGTATATATGAATATATATATATACACAGTATATATGAATATATATATATATATATATATATATATATATATATATATATATATATATATATATATATATACATATATATATATACAGTATATATGAATATATATATATACACAGTATATATATGAATATATATATATATACACAGTATATATATGAATATATATATATATACACAGTATATATATGAATATATATATATATACACAGTATATATATGAATATATATATATACACAGTATATATATGAATATATATATATATATATACACAGTATATATATGAATATATATATATATACACAGTATATATATGAATATATACACACACACACACACACACACACACACAGAGTTACTGGTCTGTAAGATACACTTTTTCCTGTAAAAAAAAATAAAACAAGCAAAATATCTGTGTTATAGCTAGTGAGCAGAGTGAATTGTAGTGATCTTCACTCCAGTGAACTGTGTCAAACACATTAAGAACCCAGCTGCCTTATGCAGCATCACAGAGTCACAATCTTGTTGTACTTCAAGATTTTAAGGCATTTTTTTTGTAAAAGGTTGAGATGGAATAAAGCATGTTTGTCTTCCCACTATGAGGCTGATTACAGCTGCTAATTACAAAATAGGACAGTTGCCTAGAGTTGATTTCAGACATTGTGGGTTAATTATGGATCTTATGACAATTATTTGCTTACAAAGAGTTGTTGTTTATATTTTTTCTTGAATGTATCAGATATAATGGTAATTATTCATAATTTTCTTAGTTGTCAACCTTGTCAAGATTGTCTCAGGAAAAATCACTGACAACTTTTGCTAAATTTTTAACTGAGTTTATTAAAGTTCTTTATTTCAAAACTATATCGATATAAAAAGAGGTGCATCTTATAAGGTTCAAGTATAGTGCTTAAAACAGTCCCAATACATTTACATAGTTTTCTCTTTATATCAACATTGATTTGTTATGTTCACACTAAGATTTTATTAATACTGTGTCATTCAGTAAATGTATATACTATTCACCCACAGCAAGGAGGTTACTTAACAGCAAGTGGGGGTTATCCAGCCTCTCCCTATACCCCTATGATGCAACACATGGCAATGATGGAGGACTCGGCTGCCCATTCACCTGACGAGTATCAACCCTATCCAACTAACGCAGGACCTATCCAGTGTCAGCAACAGCCCAAGTAACACTGTTAGTACCATTTTTTGTTATGTTATGAATATTATGTTATGATAATTCTAAAAATCTTTTTGATAATTACATTAGTAATGATAGTAAGAATAGTTTTATCAACAACAGTAATAGCAGTATTAGTAACAACAAAGCAACCAGTAATAATTGTGTATTACATTTAAGGCTATTATTCTTAATTATGATTACTGAGTTCAGTATATTTTTTCACTACAAATTTATACCTTGACAGCTCAACATTTGATAAATCAGCCTGAGGTATTATTTTGAATGTTCAATGTGTGATAAAACATATGTCTATTAATTCTCACCAACCCAAGTTTTCATTCAACAAATGTGCACCTTGTCATAATAGACAGAAAATGCTTTGTTAGTGAATACTTCTGTTCTTTTAAAAAATCCTCATGCTATATGAGCAAAATGTTCCCACATTAAATGATTTCATGCTTATATGTCTTACTCAGTTTTAACCAATATTGTCATGTAAACCTTCCGTAAACATATTTCTTTGTGTATTGTGTATTGTACACCAAAATTAGGAGATAGTAGTTTGTCATCCAAAACAACAATGCATACATGAACACACACAGGAAAATATCTATCACACAACTTTTTCTTCATATTGAGTACTCACAGGTGATTCAGTTTGGCAAAAAAAGAAAAAAAAATTGCAGGTTATACAAGACACCTTGTCAGAGCATCATGTATAACATGGAAATTATCACACAGTATTATATTTATAATCATCTCTTTCCTGCTATCTCTTGTTGTCTCTGTCCTTTTATATTTTTCATATTAACCCATTGCCGCCCGGTAATGGCATGTACGTACATGCCATGCCCACTATGAGTCGACTTGTTCGATTGTTTTTACACATAAATGGCTACACTTGTACTAAGTATCCAATGAGCCAATTACGAGTACAGCCTGTCTCACCCGTTCACCCTTTTCATCAATTTATGAAAATATTTAACGTTATCCTAATTTGCTGTTAAAAATAACACCATCTATATTTATAGCACTAGTAAGAATATGTTTTTTCCCGCCAATTCAAGGAAAGGTGAAATCAGGACTAGCAGAGCCATCTATGGGCAGAGATATTTCACAAAAATATAAAAAATGAGTACTGCATTTCCCCCATTTTTTGTTCATTTTCCCCAGCGGCAATGGGTTAATTTTCATTTGGTCAAGGATAAAGAGAGAAAGGAGAGAGAGTTCCTTTTTGTTCTGAAGGTATCAGTTGGTTTGTCTCTTGGTTCGTAAATAGGTTAACCTGTTATTTTCTTATCCCATTGGTTCTAGGTGCTTCCCCATCTGCATGTAGCCCAAAATCTAGGCATTGGCTTACTTGTTATCAAATCTTCTGAGTGTGTAACTTGTAGGCCAGGCATACACGAACACTTGTGTCCAGTGTCCCGAGTCCTTGCCTACCCTTGTATCTTTCTTTCTTTTTTTTTTTCTTTTTTTTTTTTTCTTTTTTTTCACAACTTTTTTTTTTCCAAGGTCTATGTTTGTCATTTGGTATGTTGCATGAAGTTGGTTATCATATCAACATTTTGTTAATTATGTCAGTTGTTTAATTTTTGTAATATTCAATTTTCTGCAATACACCATGTGCCGCCAATGATGGCAGGCAGGACTAGGATCCTGAGCATGGAAATATTGTCGTCCCCAGATCTGGCACTCTTCCAGGGATGGTACATTCCACCAGGGCTGTTGAGTCGGAGTCAGAAGGAATTTGGTGTTGTTGGACTCAGAGTCATAGTTGAAAAAATGTCATGACTCTAACTCCAACTCCAACCTCAACATAAATCTCGAAAATCCCATTTTTTAAACATTGCACACTATTTTTCCAACCGAGAGAATGAAAAATCATATAATTTTCATTTTGTCACAGTCTTATATGCATTTTTTAAAGCATAATGATTTTTTGAGAATGTACAGTAGAAAGGCCACAATAGCATAGCTATAACTATGTATGACTCAAACCTTTTTAAGACATGGGTTAAAAGGTAACCTGTAGTTATTATGAACTCCATTTTTTAAATTACTGTACCTAGGGATGGAAGTCAGAGTCACAGGCGGATTCGGATACACAAGAGATCAAGGAGTTGGAGTCAGAGTTGGAGTCAGGTGTTTTGAGTACAGACTACACAGCTCTGCTTTCCACACTCATTTACCAATGGAAATAATGCAAGAGCCACTTCCACTATATATTCCCACTTAGTCTAAATTCCTGTCACCTGGCTCTCAGCCAAATTCTTTCATAATATGGTCAAGTCACCTGAACCCATGCTCTGCTGCAGGTTACATAACAGCTGTAGATATATA